TCAAAAGCATGCACTCTCCTTCTGTCCTCCGTAGTCATTGTCCAACTCTCTGATGCATAACAAGCGATTGGAAAGACCATGGCCTGTATCAGGTGCACCTTAGTCTCCAGAGAGACACTGTTGCTCCTGAGTACCTTAGAGAGGTCCCTAACAGCATCTGGAGTAATGTTAATCCCTCGCCATGCCTGGCTCCCTCATAGGTGGTCAGAGATTATAGAGTGTGGCCATACTGTAAAATGCAGTCCTATCAATAGGTTCAGTTGACCTCAGGAAATGAAACCAGTTTCTCTAAGTAGACAGTAGTGAGTAATAGCTAAAGCAAATGATCAGGTAAACCTAGAGAGCTAATGCCAGAGAACTCACAGATTTGTTCCTGTCCTTTATATGTGTACTCCTGCACCCTATCAGCCACTTAAGAGGGAACCAGAAAGAAATTTGATCTGAGAATACAAAAGACTTGGGCATTGTCTGACCCTGGTGATGATACAAATTGACTTTTTTCCCCCTTCTGCATTGTCTGTACTTGACAGCACTTAACAACAACAACAACAACAGCATTGCCTGTGGCATCTTTTTCCTCTTCCACTCCTACTTCTTCTTGCCTCTCTACTCCTAGTTTTGACAGCATTCTAGGCCCATACCCTATAGAAGTGACCTTTGCTCCATCAAGGATTGATAGCCCATCAATCCTTCCATTGAGATCTTAAAGGAGACACCACCGCACCCTTTCCTCAGGCACTTAGCTCCCAAGTCCAGTAAGCATAACTGGAAAGATTGTTTTTGCTGTTCTCTGAAACCACTAAACCTGTCTGACATAGTTTCTCTCCTGTAAAATCAAGATAACATCTGCCTGTTCCAAGAGTCAGGGAGCTCTGGTAGTGCTACACTTAAGGCTAACCACTGCTGACCCAGAGCTCCTCCTGAAGATAAAGAAGAGGAAATGTACTTCCAAAGATCCAATGTACAGCAGCTCTGAAGCCTGCCCTGTCCCGAGCCAGTCTCACTGATTCCAACACACTAACCCTGACCGCCCCAGTTACTGTGTAAATCTATCTCATCAGGTGTCATCCTCTCCAGGGCTGTCCCTCCACCCTTCCAGCATAATGTCCTTCTCCAAGGACTGGTCTCTTCTGGCCACATGCCCAAAGTATGTGAGACAGAGCTTCAAACGCCTAGCCTCCAAGGAGAAACTTGATTTCACCCTCTCCAAGACAATCCTTTTTGTCTTCTTGGGGGTCCAAGGTATGTTCAAGACTTCTCTAGCACCACAACTCAAAGGCATTGATTCTTCTTTTGTCATCCTTAGTCATTGTCCAATTCTCTGATGAAGACTATGGTCTGCAATAGGCACACCTTAGTCTCTAGACTGACATTTTTGCTCTTCAGTACTCTGGAGAGGTCCCCTTGGAATCCCCATGGGATGGTTCTACTCAATCCTAAAGGGCTTCTAGGAGCTATAATCAACTAGAAGGCTTGTGAGTTTGGTTTGGGTTTCGATTCCAAGGATCAAATACTTTCTAGTGTGGAGTGCTTTGTATACTGTAAGTGGCACAGCCTAGACTGTTTTCTGCAAAATTGTGCTGCTGGGAGAGATGCTAATAGATGGGGGAAAAAGAAAGGTTGGGTCAGATATGGGGAAGGGACATCTAGGTCCTAGCCTTTAATTTGCCAATAGATGTTGCAAATCTTCATAAGTAGGGTAGAAACGTTTGTCTAAAAACTAGGTTTTTTCATGGGCTACTTATTAATATTCTAGGTGACTGGTTTGTAAATAACTCAGTGTATATTATTTCTCTTACAAATCAGAATGTTAATCTTTCCTCAAAACATATTCCATCTGAAACCCTGGGCAATGTTAGAGTCTAAAGCCTTGCCTGAACGTCTTTAATTGTCTCAACATTGTAAAGTGAACGTACTGAGGGGGAGGGGACATAGTGTTGGAAGATTCTGCGCCCCCTCTTCTCTTTCACCACCCTCACTGGTCCACCCTGCCCAGACAGCTGTACTCGTAACCCTGTGTACACACCTTCTGGGTCGCTGTCCCCCACTTCTGTTTTCCTCCATTTCTTCTTACCAAGGAGACTCCCTCCCTTATCTCTGTCAACATAGTTATAACCCATTCTTCAAGCCTTAGCCCGAGCCTTAGTGGGTTGTTGTGTTTTTTTTTTCTAACTGATGTAGCATGTTCTAGAAGAGAATCTGGTTCCCCAGCTAGAGTGTAAGCCTCTAAAGAAAGATATTCTTCACACTTCTTGGTTTCTAAAACTCAAAATTTGGAGGCTGATTCATTGATGTCCTTAACCTCTATCCCCGAAGAACCAAAAGCCATTTTGTCTTACCTAGACAACTTGAACCTCTGAGTCCTCCAGACTGGACAGTCAGTATGCCGGGGTTTGTGCATTCTAAAGATACTTATTCCAGGTTAAGTAAGACAAAATGTTTGCCTTTAAGGTCCTCTTGTTCTAGGGGAAACAACAAAGCAAACCAAAATTCCATGTGAATACAAGTTCATAACACTCTGTGCAATACGGGAAATGACGAGGTTTCATGGTGACAGCAAGTGGGGAATCAAGGAAGGGTTTCCATGCAAAATTCCTGTCCAAGCCCCACATACCTTACTTCTTACAGAAAGGATGCCAGATGGAGCTTAGAGCAAGTTATGAAGGTCTGTCTGTCTGTAGGCTGAGGGAGAGGGGTATATCCTTGGGTTGTGCAAACAGTTCATGCTCTTGACTGATCATGGAAAGCCTGGCAGCCCACCAGAGGCACCTCAGAAGGAAGGCCTGGTGATCTACTTAAACACCTCCAAATCTTACATTGGAAGCCCTGTGGAGCACGTTCTTTCTCTAACATACGTGAGTGGCTAGGAGTAGAATCTCACTGCGAAAGCAAAGGCACTTTTCTGGGGCTGTTCATGTCCACCAGCAGCAGGAAAGAGAAGGACAGTGTCTCCAAAACCCCTTACAGCCGAGGAAACACCCTGGAGGGTGAGTGGTGAGTTGGCTCCAACTGTACGGCAGTGAGGGGAAGGTAGTGTACCTGCGTGACATAGTGCACAGGAGACTGTCCTGCCGACACAAAGACTGTGGCCTCCGGTGGTTTGAATCCACTAGCTTCCTTGTGAGAGAGAGATGGACAGTCTCCTGCCTCGAAGTGTACAGTCTTGGAAACCCAGTGGGGGGCTGGCTGAGTCAGTTCTGACTCTACACAATGAGTGTGAGAGGGTGGGTTTAAGTACAGGGAAGAAGGATTTATGGAGATTCTGTGGGGATGCTTTGCATTGGTTTCCTGGATCTCAGGCAAGGGGGACAGCGGGGTATAGTGGGCACTAAAAGGAGAGATAATGAAATGGGAGTTTTGCGTCCATCCTTCACACAGGTTTACACACACACACACACACACACACACACACAGAGTCTGCAGGGATCCCACTTCCCTGCTTTTCCATCACACCCTCTCACCTCTCTTCCTTCTTTCCTTGATTCATTCTTCTCTGGCACTTCTTGGTCCTGGGGCCATTCATCATGACCTCATTAAACAGCCCTGTCTGCTATCAGTAGCTAGTGGCCTGCTTTGGCGTGAGGTTGGCCAGCCCTCGACTCCCCTTGGGGGGGGTCCTGGAGAAGAAGATCAAGTCTTGAGTCAGCACTTTCTCTTTTTTCTTCCCACAGAAAACCAAAAGAGACGTCAATAACTTTGATCAAGACTTTACCCGGGAAGAGCCGGTACTCACACTTGTGGATGAAGCGATTGTGAAGCAGATAAACCAGGAGGAGTTCAAAGGCTTCTCCTACTTTGGTGAAGACCTGATGCCATGAAAGGCTGCTCCAGGTGGAGGTCCTCGATGCTGCAAGAAGGGGTACCAGGAAGTTTCCTGCTTTCCAGAGACTCAGAAGGTCAAGAACTGCTTCTCCTCCCCAAAGCCCCAGTCCCATTTGCGCTATCTATTTATTGCATCCCCTTCCCCAGGTCAGCTCCCTTCTCCTCCCACCCAATGACCAAACGGCACTCTTGGTTACTGTCCTGCCAGGAATGCAGAACCTTCTGGGTCAGAAGTTAGCCGGACACACTGCCATGTTTGTACTGGTGGCAGGCCTGGTTTCACTCCTCAGGGGCCCCTGGCAGTGAAGCAACTTCAATTCTTTTTACTGCAAAGGAAAACAAAAACAAAACAAAAAGCCAACCCCAACAAAACACAAGAGCAACACAAAAGCCACCAAAAAAGCAAAGCAAGCATGAAGGGTCTGGCTCTGCTATTGGACACACAGGTCCAACCCCTTCCCCACGCCTCTCCTTCCCCTCTGTCCAGCCCATCATCCCGGCCCGTCTGCCCAGGAGAAGAGGCCGGAGCTTCTTCAGCATGCCCAGCAGAGGGAGGGACACTGCTGGCTAGGCGTGTGGGTTTGCCCCAGAATGGCAAAGAATTCTTGCTTTCTTTGGTGTTAGCATGCCAAAGTCTTGTTAGCCTGTATCTTGTGGAAGATTATTTTTTTTTATAGAAAAAGCCATTTGCTCTTGAACTGTATTAATATTTGAAAAAATATATCCTAAAATTCACTTCAAAATTGGGCAAAACCTATAGAGTCTAATCAATACAGGTAGAGATTAAAGGGCTAATAATACAGTGAGAACCAAATTGTTTAAGCTGTTAATGTCTTAGTGGTGGCATGGGCAATGTGAGTTCAGGGACAAGGAGGCAAGTGGTGCCCCTCATGGGTAAAGGCTGACGTGGACATGAAGGCCACTGCAGTGATGGCTGAGACGCTAGGGTTCTAGCAAAACTTGGTTCCCAAATTCTTTTCAGTTGCACCCTAAGTTCCCAGCATAAATGCATATTTATTTTCTTCAGTGATGTGTTCTTTTTTGCGCACTTCTACAAAATGATAGTACTACTGTGTTGTGGTTTTTAATAATTAAATGTGTAGAGTTAAATATGAAGCATCTGCTTTTGGAACAAGCAGAATGAGCCTAAACATGGGTTATGTGGACAGTACCAAGAGACTAAAAGAACAACTCATGAGAAGAGAAAACTGGCGGTGCAGCAAGATGTCCTGGGAGTTTTGCTTGTGTGTGACATGAAGTGGCAACTCATGTGGACACTCTTTACTGGCTGTGATGTTACCTCCTGTAGATACTCCAACAGTGTTACATTCTTTGATTCCAAGGGTTCTCTGTGGCTTTGTGTCTATGTTCCCCAGAGGTCATTGATAACCTATTTTACGGACCTGATTTAGCAGGAATGGAATCCATTCCAACTCTTGCACGTGGATTTCCCAGCTGCCCCTAAATATATATATATATATACATATATATATACTTGTTGTGAGTGGCCACGTGGCACTAATGGAGCTTTTTGCCTTTTGTACATTTGATTCATTTTGTATATAGTGTTTGCTGCAAGGCCCGTGGGATTAAATTCATTGAATACAGAGGTGTCAACTGCTGCATGTTCAGGCACATTAGGAAAATTTAGTCTATGAAAGAATAACTATAACAATGTCCAGGTGCAATACTCTGTAAGTGTATTGGTTCAAGTTACCAAGAAATAAGTTGTGTTTCTTATATACATATTTTTTTCTAGAGGGAGGGGATTCCTTTGTATTGTTTATTTCATTTTGTTTTCTTTTTAAAGATGTAAACATATATTAAGCTATATTAAATCTCATGTATAGTTCTCCCATGCTCTGTTATGACCTGATAGAGATGGGGACAGGAAAGGAATGTTTTTGATGGTTTCAAAGCTTGGACAGTGACTCTCTCTCATGCCCACAGAGAGTTGTGTTCACACTTACATTTGGCTGGTTATAGCCATTGTTACCAATGATGACCTTCAGTTCTCTCTTTGTTATTTTTTTCCTTCAAAAACTCAGGTGTAATTGTTATCTATTCTTATAATAATTTCAAATATTAAATATTATGCTATAGTAATTCATGTGTTGGATATACCAGTGAAGTAATGAAGAACATTAGATTAATTTAATTGCTCTTTGGTAACTTGACCTACTGGGGAGAGACTATCTTCTGGAGTTGAATGCAAGCACAGAATCGCCTTCATGGTGGCATCATCTCACTTTTTAGGAAGACATGACAATACTGCCCATCATACATACTCATGCATGACTACTGCTCTCTGTTTCTCTTCTGCTCCTCTCACCATCAGGAGTCGGGGACCGCCAGCCAAGACCTAACTGCAGTGCAGAATGGCCTTGTTCACAGGACGGGGTGGTGTGAGTGTGCCAGTGGGGATTGGGCCTGTCCTGTGGGACAGCGGGCCTCTTTGCTGGGAAGTAGAATAATGCATTCCACTTAGCAGCCCTCTGCATGCTGTCACTGGCTGGCCTGTTGACGTGAGGTTTCTTTCAGCACCCAGAGCAAGGCTGGCTGGGATGTCTCCAACCTGGGGCTGGAGCTGATGAAGTTCTCAGACAGGCCTACTTAAATCTGGTGCAGGTCTCTAGAAAAAGGCTTGTCTATCCTTTGAATATTCCTTGTTTCATTTTAATTTTCACAAGAGTTACAAGAGAAATAAATACACTGTTACATTTCTGCTGATTCTTTTTAATCTCTCTCCCCCCTCTTCTCCCCCCTTCCCTTCTCCTTCTCCCTCTCCCTCTCTCTGTTAAAGAAAAAACAAAAACAAAACAAAACAAAAAAAACGGGAGTGCAAAACTTTACCAAAAACATGTATGAAGGATAGCTTTTTCTCCTGTGTTTTCTTGTCATAGACTTTGAAGTGGAAACAACTTTTTCTCCAAAGGTGGGGGGGAACCCCACCCCAAACCTGCATTCTTGTTAAAAAAAGTAAAATTTAAAAAAGTCTAAAAAATTACCTCTTTTTAAATTATGTGCAAAATATTTCTGGCTAAATATAAGATGTATTCAATTTTAGGGATTTTTTTTTTTGTATTGTGATGCTTTATTTGTACTTCCCCCCCTTCTGGGTGTAATTTTAATCTCTTGTCTTTCATTAGTGTTATTTCATTGTAAACATTATTGTGCCAAATGTACTGTATTCAAAAGGATGTGAATGTGTATTGTTTAAGAATCTAATAAATACAATTATGTTAAATCTTACTTGTTAGTCCTACAGCCATTATTCTCTATGTGACTGTAAAAGTCATTGTTGTTATGTGCCATTGAGTTGCCTGCAACTCATAGCGACCCTGTGTACAACAGCCCTAAACTCTGCTCTGTCCTGTGCCAATCGCACTGCCTCTGACACACCCATCCTGATTACCCCAGTCACTGAATCAATCCACC